TTTTTCATAAAAACGTTGTTTTTTTAACAATATGAAACTTTGTAAAAAAATATTTTAAAAAACATTGATACTTTTTGAAATAATGAGTGGTTCATGATAAAAAAATCACCCTGTATATGTATTAAATTATCAAATAACTTAAAAATTATAAATTTGATATGTATCATTTTAGAAATGATGTTAAACGAAAAAGAGAAAACATTGATGACAATGAGTCTGTAATTTCTACATCAAACAAAAAACGTTTTAAATCTCATGATGTTAAAGAAGGCTTAACAGTATTTTTCAAGAATGTTTCATTTAGTGTCAACAACGATGAACTGAAGCGATTTGTTAAAGAACGATTTGGACCAATTTATTATGCACTTGTTTGCGTAGATCGTTTGACTGAACATTCTAAAGGAACAGCATTTGTCAAATTCACGGTAAATATTAACATAAACTATAACTTTATATAAGATTAATTTGGTATTAATATATATGTTAAATACATAATTKATGTAAGTTCTTAAGTTGTGTAAAGCATTATTTGTCTTTTCAAGATAGTTTTAATTTATGCATTACCTATAAATATTTAAATTTAAATAAAAATAGTAGTAATAATTAATTGGTTTTATTAATCAGGATGCTRGCAGTGTAGAGGCTTGTATGTCTAGTTCTCCTGAAGATCTAACTCTTAATGGATCTACAATGGAACCACAAATGGCAATTGATAAAGAAGTTTTAGATAAAAATAAAGATGACAAAATTACTCATAAGGATAACAGGAATTTGTATTTAATCAAAGAAGGAGGTATTGTGATATTTTTTATTTTTTTTTAAGTCTGGTTGCATGAACAATCACGAAACATTTAATGAATCCATAATGAGCTAATGATCCCTTAATCATGATTTAGCACCACGGTAGCCCATAAGGGACATCCAGAAGGGGTAAAGTTTTTCTTTTTAACTTGGATTATTAAAATAAATTAAAAAATTCCTTTTGTGTTAATTAATTTCTATGATTATGGCCAAAATGGTGAAATTTTGAAAAACTGTCACCCTGTGCGATGTTACCTTAGGTACAGTCATGAAAGTGAAAGAAATAACTTTGCAGAGATTTTAACTTAACTAATGTTGACATCAAAATAAACTAGAAAATTGTGTTATGTGATAATATAATATGATCATTATGATTGACTTAGTGTATTAAAATCATATTGACTATTTACTAATAAATAAAATATTTCTATTACATGGCAATCATAATACATTAAAATATTTTGAATTATTGTTTAAATCTTTTCTTAAAAAAAAAAGGTGATTTTGCTTAGGCCTTCAAAAAATCAGGGTCCTGGACAATTTTTCATTATGCCTTTCGTTAAATCCATTCCTTATCATTGATATTAAAGGATTTCATAAAAATGTATTATATTATGTGGATGGGATGGGAGAAACAAATTTTTCAATGGTCAGTGGCATATTTATACCAAAAGTATATTTTGCCTAGTGAGCTAATTCTCTGCAAGTAATCCCCTGTGGCCCACAATTGATCCTTTACATTTGTAAATTTTTCGTGTAACCTAATGGTAGTATTTCTGATATAAGCACATACTATTGTTGTTATACAATTAATGAAATTAAATACTTGGAATTAATATGTTCTAGTCATCATTGCTGGTACAGCTGCTGCAAATGGTGTATCTGTTCATGATATGAACAAGAGACTTGAGTTGGAACAATGGAAATCCCAAGTTTTAAAAAATTTAAACATGTTTGTGGCACGTAACCRACTTATCATCCACAACTTACCAACAAACATGGATAATAAATCCGTAAAAGATTTATTTACAAAATATACACATCCCAAAGCTGTATTGAAAGTGAGTAAAGATATCGTTCATATCTATTTAGTATTTATATGTTGTACTAAATTTAAATAACATTATTACTAAGAACAATTTYCCTACTAAGAACCAATGACCATCTTGAAACTGTTTTGCAAATTCTACATCTTTAAGTTATGATTTTCTCTCAAATTTTAATTTAATTGTCTGGTCTTAAATTAATACTTAATAGTTAATAATAGTAATTCTTAATTGGTATTTCAAAAAACTTTTTCAATGTAGTACTGTTAAATCTAATAATACTATTGCTTATAATATTATAATATTTAAGGTAGTTGTTATGAGAAATTTAAAACAAGTTGACCCCAATGGAGTAGCAATTTCAAAAGGATATGCTTTTGTAACATTCAAGCAACACGATGATGCTTTAAAAGCACTCAGATCCATTAATAACAACCCAAAGATTTTCAATTCAAATAAAGTAAGATTTTCAGATATTATTTTATATTTCTGTATAAACATAATTAATTAATATTTTAACTATAGAGACCAATAGTGGCGTTTTCTATTGAAAATAGGTTAGTTTTACAAGCTAGACAAAGGAGAATAGACAAAAGTAAAACTAGTAATCCATTATTCAACAAACAACTACCAAGTACTTCATCAACTGTTGAGAATAAAAATAAAAAATTTAATGCAGATAATAATAGAAAAGATAATAGAAGTACTGCATTATCTAAAAAAAAAACAGCAGATCTCCCGGAATATACTGGTATAACAGCGAAAGAGGTAATTTAAAAAAAACATTATTTGCAGGGCTTGAGACTTGTAGCATTTGCATATTTTTTATAGTTTATGAAAAGATAGCAGAGTAAGCAATAAATCCATTTCAGATAAAAATGAACTCAATACCAAAAGTTTTAAGTGCATATTTTAAATATTTTTGCATATTCTAGAGGTTTTGCTATTTTTTCGACTATTTTGCTATTTATTTGGCAATTAATGTAAAAATCGAAAACTCAGTCCTGCAAAAATACATATTTCGGCCACTCATCAGTGATCGACAGTTTCGGGACGTTATAAAACTCATTGTCGATTGAAAAAAATAAATATWTAAATAGATAATAATTTATAGATATATCTTAAAATATCCCAATGCAAGACAATATTGTGTTTATCATATCTTTTATCTTAATGTTGTTTCTGTTATCGACTTCGACCATACTTGTTTATATACCCCATAATTATAGACTGTTCCGATTTACAACGACGTAATCGATTAGTAAATGTCGACTTTTGATTGCGCTCGTATGTACGTTTTTATCCATATAGTGAATTTATAAATTTTTCTTTGTTCAGCTTTGGGTGCTTCATTAAAACATATTTTTCATACCATGCCAAAAGATAAATTATCACTAGCCTGACGGTTAAGAAGCTATATACAAGAATTCGGTTCAGATACGTTTTCACTCGATTCATCTATTCTTTTCTGCAAATACTGTGAAATTAAAGTAAATTGTGAAAAAAATTCAATGAAAAACACAACATCTTAAAACTGACAAACATATAAAAGCAATTAAACATAAACAAGAAGAATCAGTAAAATTTGACACATACAAATTAATGAGAACAGGAAAGAGTTTTTAATTTGTAGAAAATTATAACTGTAAAATTATATRAAAAATTTTCTTTAAATTTTAATAATTATAAATTCATAAATGTCTAAATAAAAATTTTTAATAAATAATTTTTAAAGCATATTTTAGGTGCATATTCTWCATTTTTTCGATGCATATAATAGCGCATATTTCATGATATTTTAGTGCTATAAGTCTTGAGCCCTGATTATTAGTAATAATTTCAACACAATAAATTTAATCATAATAATCAAACATTCAATTTAATCGTTTTCAATATATTAATTATATATGTTACAAATTTAATCAGGGTCACATGGCAATTCGATCTAAGTTCAAACTTAAAATTCAATCTGAAGCTCACCAAAAAAACGTCAAAACAAAGAAGAAAATCACCATGAAAAAGAAACGTGATTTAGCCATCAGGAACGAGAAGAAGAGAGAACCAAAAGTATGTTCAATATATAATTTAATATAACAAAAACGAGGTATAATTTAAGTGATTTATTTTTTGTATTTAAGGTAAAGAGCAAAAAGAAAAATACTAAGAATGATGCATCATTTTCAAAATTAGTCAACAAATATAAAAATAAAATTTCAGCTCCAGAAACTTTGAAAAAATGGTATGAAGCATAATGAGAATTTAGTCTATTTTCTGTTGGATATTTGTATATTATTAAATATAATTCTCTTTAAATCGAGTTTTATCTAATTTATTTATTTTTGCCATTATTGTAGTTAATTTAAGAGGTTCTCAAACTGTAATTAGGTCACAAAAATATTTCTATTAGGTTGTGTGAAGTTATAAAATATATGTATACTTTTGCATATTGTAAAATATTTAATATCAGAATATAAGCCTCATGTACAAGTAAAATAAAAATAGTTGAAAATTTTCATAACTCGATTAAAATCAAAACATTGTAGAACCATAAAAAAATTTAGATTATGCTCTTATATGATAGCTATATTTTAGATATTTTTAATGTTCTAAACAACAAAATAGGAATCTGAAAATTTGTTATTTTATCTATTTCTAAGTTGGAGACAACATGCACGAGTATGAATTCTCTTAAATTTCAAATGAAGATTGGATGTTTTAATCTTAGGAGGCTGTTTAGCCTGGGAGTTTAGGGGGCTTGTTAAAATTAATTTGTAATTTTTAGAATCTTGATAGGAATATTTATTTTATAGGGCCTGCAAAATCATTTAGTACAGGGGCCCAAACTATGATGTGGCCTGCTATTGATATTTGGCGAGTAATTGTTAACTTATAAAGTATTTAAACGTAGTCGGCTGACAAATATTTATGATAATCTTTTATTTGGGTTAGACTATCATCTATGATAAAAAAAATATAAAATAAATACACAATATATTTTGTTAGAATATAATATGAACAATTATTTACTATAAAATAAATTTTCTTACATCTTAATCATAAGTTATAAAATATAAACATTCAACTTAACAGAAAATATTTAATTTGAAATCACATATTTACATTTTGGACGGAATAAATTTAAAGATTAAACTTGTTAAAATTGAACAATAAAGTTTGTGGAATGTACCATGTATAATACATATACATATATATAATCATACTTATTTAAGCGTTGATATCAGATAAAAGTTGCTGAAATGTTTGCTTYGCATAGTATCTATAAAAGAAAATATCAAAGTTTTTATTCTATAACAAACAAAAYATAAGTACAAGAAAAGATACAGAGATTACAGATTAATTGTGAAATAATCAAATAAAATAAAAATGCCAATATATAAACTTCATTCAGGAGGGAATTGCCTACTTAACTGTTTTTATTATTTTAATGATATAAATTTTGTTTTTTGTCACTGTACATGTTTTTTATTCACTTAAGATTTAAAACAGTATTAAGCAACTTATGATTACAATGACTATTTGAATTTGCAACTAGATTTAGATAACTTAAATAACTTACATAGCTGTTATGAGATAAATKATTTTTCACTTAAGCTTTTAATGTTGTATGCAGACAAATCAAATATAACATAATCTAAAAAACTTTGAAAATAGAAAATCATGAAAAGGATCTTGTTATAACTCTATTAAAAAATATATTTTCGGCAGACGTCTGACATTTAAGTTAGTTGTTTTTTAAGTAGCACCACAAATACGGCMTAGCACGCATTCAACCACTTTCGGTGCTAAAAAATTGATTTGTTCATTGGCCCTAGGCCCATTACTGTTACATATATTAAGCTAATGTGAATCCTAAGTTTATATGCAAAGAGATTTATATGATTTCAATGATCTGGCCTGTCAGAAATAAATATACCAACATCTAACTTTTAAGTATGGTTTGGTTAAATGGAATCCCTATCAATTCATGCTAATTAATAGTTTAGATTTGGTCCAAAATCATATTTTCTGTATGTTTTATTTTAAATTCTAAACTAGGTATTTACTCTTATTATTGAGAAGAAAATATTTTGAAATCTTTTTTTATCTATAATCTAATTTTCAATAAAATATCTTGTTCTGAATTATTGGGAGGTATATATTTTACTATACCATCTTTTAACACTAGTAATAGTGTTCCATCTTTCATTACTCACCGCCATCAAAAGTACAGCCATTTTGGGKTTTTTTAATATAATAATTACGAATTGTAATAATATTAAACATTTTGATTTATTTTACCATAATATTAATCATCTAAAATCATTTTTTTTAAAGTAATTTTCTAATTTAATCTAATGATAAAATAGCGATCAAATGGTGGTATAATATGATGATTAGTGATAGTTAATTATCAATCAGAACATTTAAGTTATAATATAAGTTTTTCTGTGATTATAATTAAATTATAAGAATAAATTTAAATAACTTGTAGATGGTATCACAGATTTTATAATATTTTGTATAATCTGTGATATTATATTATAATGATTAAAAATTTAAAACATATTTASTTGATTGTTACCATATTATGTTTACTTGGATATGCTAAACATAATGTGATACCATTTAAATTTATAGCATAATAGTTATAATTTTTCCCCATACACGAGACTTCACTTCCCATTACATCATCTAAACATAAAAAACACAATATGTATGCATCAAATTTAAAAAAAGATATTTTGAAATCATTGTCAGTAATAACTCAATAAATAACAAATGGAATAGGTAAATTAATAGGTACCGTTCATTAGACGAGATGCAATTTTATTATAAAACTGTACGATTCCACGTTGCACATCAGTATTTGAGTAATAATTTTGCATAAACTTAAACAAGTTTGTGTTYACTATGATATATCTAAATTATAACAAATAAGAATAAACTTAATGTAAATAAGTTTTAAGAAACTGCTTAATACATTATTAAACAAAATATTAATATTTTACAACTATTAATTTACCCAGACGTTAATTCAAATTTAGTACAGTTAGGTCGAAAATAATTGATAACTGTTCTAAAACTTTTAGCAGCACTCATTTCAACATCATCGAGATTTGGAGTAGGTCCACAAATAGCTGCTGTCCAAACACCCTGTACTACCATGCAACATACTAGCCTTAAAAGAACCTAGAAATACAGAATTTATTGAAATATAGATAGAATAATTATTTACACGGCTCGACATGAAAAACTTGTTGTATGCAAAATTATCTTTAGGATATACCTATTGGTAAAATTTGTTTATACAGGAAATTAGTCCAATGAATTATTTACAAAGTATTGTTAATACATATTATATAAAAGAGATTGTGAGAAAATTCAATACTTTTAAGATATTAAAAGGCCAATATTAACTTAATTTTTTAAGGTTTCCTAAAAAAATGGTTTTACATATTAATATAGGTWTTTAAATTTATATTAATAGAAAATTTGTTTACCTTGGTACTTGAATGAGGTAGGAAAATTGGAATATCAGCCGATGAAATTTGGTCATAACAATTAGCTAAAATAATTGTTATTAATAATTTTCTATCGCTTATATGTAATTCCCACCAATCTTTTGTTGCTGCGCACAATTTCTTATCCACAATAACCCAACAAAGATCACTACAGATTGATTCAGACCAATTGCATAAACAATTCTGAAAACGTAGAAAAAATTTACAAGAGTTTAAAAATGTGCAATAAGTCACAATTTAAAGAATTATTAAAAGTTAGTAGTTACATTTATTGCTTTATTATCCTTCATAGACTGTGTTTCAATTATGTTTATTAAGTTTGTTTCTATTGTTATTGATGTAAGACTCCTTAATATATAATCAATAATAGGTAAACAAGGCTAAAAAATAATTAAATATAATATTTCAAGCTATACAATCAGCTCAGTTACCTATAAGAGTGATTAAATGTAAGTTGGTTATGAGCATACTTTTATTTCCCGTTTTATTCTATCTGCATTTTTATTGTAAATGTTTTCATCCCCAATAATCATTTTTATTAAATTTGATATCAGTTCTAGACCAGTTTTTATAGTAGAATCTTTCAAATCACCAATGCCTGCCATAATTAAACTATAAACATTTGATTAAGTTTAATAAAAATACGAACAAAACTTATTAGTTATATACTCATAATTCATACAGAACATAATTTTTAATGTATATACTTGTTAAGGTAATTTAACAAAATATCTAGAAATACATTATGGTATAGAATTTATAATGATAAAGTTTATTATATAATTTCATACCTATCTCCAATGGCATGCCAAATAAAAGAATGTTTATCTGTATGAATAGTTTTAAATTGTACATTTTGTACATCTGCAAATGTTATAACAGCATTCAGTGTTGAAAATGTAGTAAATGGTACCTAAAAGAATACAAAGTATTGTAAGCTAAGTGACTTTAAACATTCTACTTAAAATTTTTTCTTTAATATATTTAAGTAAATACTGATGAATTTCAAGTATAAAAAAAATTGATGAAAAGACTATTGTAACTTTTAGACATATCCAAAAGTATAAGCTTTAAATTAATAAAAAATTTTAAGTACCAAATTAAAGAAAAAGATGAAGGTCGTGTATTTTAGTAAATATATCTGTGATGAAAAAGTTATTTTAATTTTATTTTTAGTAATCAAATACCTAGTACTTTGAACAGTATAAATGTGTTATTCAAATGTCTATTTTTATTATTTCTTTGCATTTATTTGACAAATTATCAACTCAATAAAATTTAACAGAGTACAACGACTATGATGAACACTGATTGTCATGTTTAATCACTTACTGAATCCATTTTACTATTTTTTCGGTAAAATATGGGAATTCCACCATTCACTGTAGTGCACACCACGTCGAACATTATTAGAATATATTTATTTCTATACTTTAAGTGTATTTTATACTTTTTGGCATAAAAAAAATGCGATTGAAAATGGTTGAACCTTAACTTTTAATGCTGTTGGTATAGGATTTAGATTTTTAAAGACATGAATTTTTCATTCGAAACTTCATGTTTATATTGCATTTTAAAATACAAAAATACATTAATATTGTAGAATATAGCGTTTTTTTGAATTTTAAATTCAAATTTTGATTATCTATTTAATATATTTTAATGTAATTAAAATCAATTGTTAAAAATAAGAAATAATAATTCTTTTCATATTCATATTAATTTGATGTAAATTAATAATTAGTAATTAGTAATTACTATATAAATACCAGGTAAATAATACTAAATCCATTATCAGTTATCACTGTCACTATCAGTTTTTGGGAGTGCACATTCCACTGTGACCACGGTAAGGATTTTAAACCACGGTCCTGCTGTGATTTATACCAGGTTACTAAACTTGGCGCTTGGTAGATTATCGAATCAAATTGAGTAGATACTCTTTAGTCTATAACCTAAAAATTCTTTTCGGAAGAGTATCTCGTCGACTCTTTCATTTTCTCACTCGTGTCTTTTGGGTAAGTATATTGATCATTACTTTTATTACTGTAGTTTCCTGACGTCCACGTTTCAAAATTCATTTTGAATTTCTCACAGTGAACGTCAGTACACAAACATAAAATGTCGTCAAAAGTATCGAAGGATACGCTTTACGAGGCCGTTAACGAGGTGTTGAGCCAGGCCAAGATAAACAAGAAAAACTTCTTGCAAACGGTCGAATTGCAAATTGGTCTCAAGAACTACGACCCCCAAAAGGACAAACGTTTTTCCGGCACYATCAAATTGAAGCACATCCCCAGGCCCAAGATGAAGGTGTGCATTCTTGGTGACCAACAGCATTGCGACGAAGCCGAGGTAAACGCTTTTCTTTGTCTGCTACTTTTAACCAGACTCGTTTTAGACAACGATATTCTCGTTTGTCATGTTAACAAAAAACTGTCATGTAGATTTTAAATGCTGGTGCGTTTTTAAATTGCATTTAATAATTTATGYATGTGTGTTGTAGGTAAACAAGGTGCCTTTCATGGATGTTGAAGCCTTGAAGAAGCTCAACAAGAACAAGAAGTTGGTGAAGAAATTGGCCAAACGATATGATGCGTTCTTAGCCAGTGAAGCTCTTATCAAACAAATCCCACGTTTGTTAGGACCCGGTTTAAACAAAGCAGGCAAGTTTCCTGGTCTTTTGTCCCATCAAGAATCTATGAACATGAAAATCGATGAAGTAAAAGCCACCATTAAATTCCAAATGAAAAAGGTATTATATTACTGTTCACTTAAACGTTTTTTCGTTACTTAATTGTGTGATTATTTATTTATAGGTATTGTGTCTGTGTGTTGCCGTTGGTCATGTTGACATGAAATCTGATGAATTGGCTCACAACATTCATCTTTCAATCAATTTCTTAGTTTCATTGTTGAAGAAACATTGGCAAAACGTTAGGTCATTGCACATCAAATCAACGATGGGAGCCCCACAACGTTTGTACTAATGTGTAATTCTATTTTTAATTTTTTAAATAAAGACCACATTAATATCAAAGTTGAAATAATCGTTCAGTTAATTTGTTTCTACCTACTTGATGTTTCTTTTGATTTTATAATTTGACAATTACAAGTTAGTAAAATTTTAGTTGAAACAATTATTAAATTTTTGTTTTCTCAGTTACCTTGGAAATCCAAATCTGTCAACCGTGTATTAAATATTAGTTTGTGAAACTACTTTCTATTAATGAAATTGACTTTGTATTAGTTTTTTTTAATTAAGTTAATTTATATAACCAACTATTAGTAATATTAACTCAATTGAAGCGTCAAATAATTGTAAATTTAATATATCTACACAATTTATTAATGGTTAGTTATAAGGTTTAAAAATTATCTCAGAATGCATTATTACATATGTCCTGAGCTCATTGTTGGTTCATTAAGTTATCTTAAATAACCAAATTTTATAAACACAACTAATGAGATTCAACTCTTCTAAAAGCTGTTTATGATTCGTGATTAAATATTTTACTAAGCTTTTACGGAGTTCATTCACCTAATAAGTGTTAACTATTTTATAAGGCAGATTTAACATTTTATGATAATGAACTTCATAATTTTCATGTCAATTCTTTTTTACTCTGATGGCAGCTACTCAACATTTTTTTATCCACAAATATCAATAATTATAGGTTTTTGGTTACAATGATCAATTAAACCCATAGATACACTGACATTTGGTAATCACCAATATTAATTATTTGTTATAAGGTTCTAACTTATATTTATAGATGGTTAATAAATTTAATATGAATGTTAATAAATAATAAAAACGCAAAATATGTATCACTAGATTTAAATAAAAATGTAGGTACATTTTATTTACTTTTACAGTGTTTACGCTGTTTACCAAATAGTTCATAAGCATATGGCATATACCCTCTAAAACACCACTTCTTTTTTATTATGTCGAACATTTACATACATGAATTTATAAAAAAATAATTATATAAATGTTATAAAATATAATCGTTTTTAATATTAAATTTGTATTTGATGTACTGCTAAAATATCCAAAAAATAATTAACACCTTTTGAGGCAATAACTAACTAGTTACTAATAACACCAAATCTACATGTCTTGAATTAGTTTTAAATAACAATATAATTATACTGTCATAATAAAAAACAGTAAATACAGTAGAGTCCCGCTAATCCGGACAATTTAAGTTTCGTATTTAGTACTCATGTATAATATATATATTCGGGAATACCCATAATTAAGATATGGTAATAGTAGTTTATGTAACTGAAATTTGAAAACTCCTATAAATGACTAAGAATATTTAGGCTGTTAACGATTTTAAAAACGTATAAATAGCACTCTAGTACCCACAAGGATTCCTTCTCAGATATGGTCTTGTTAAAGCTCAATTCAAACTAGTACTCAACATTACATAACACAACACTACAAAACATTTTTTACTAGAATGTCTAGTCAGTTGTCAGTGCAATTTATATCTATCTATACTGATGAAAATTACAATTTTCTATATCATGACACAATATTATAGTTTCATGTCATTCCAATTTTTTTTTTAATTGTGCTTTATATTTAAAATTTTTCATTGACTAACACTATTTTACGCAACTAAGATAATGCACACCTAAAAATTAAAAGCCTTTTTTTGTTATATTTTGATTATTTTTAAGTAAAAATTATCCATACCTATATTGAGAAATAAAATATAATAGGTTTATTCGGTGTTTGAGCTTTGTTAGCTCCCAAGTATAAGTTATAAAATTTTATTTTTTATTTGAAATTATATTTAGTTTTTTTAATGTCCTATTCMACACTACAGCAGGTCAAGCCACAGTATTTATTTATGTAACAATAATCATAATTATATCATAAATTGATAAAATAACTTAGAAAATATAATATAAATACTTTATTTATCTATTGCAATGGCAAGATGCAGAAAGGCCTATTAATGTGAGAGTGTCTACRGGTTACATTATTTTGTTGCTTATAATATTTGTTAGGTGTAACTTATATGAAATAAGTTAACAGTTAAATAATGTTAAAACAGTTTTATGAATATTAAACATTTTAATTTTTATGTTAATATCAACATTTTATAATAATATGAAAAAAATAATTAGACTTCTATAGCCTATAGGTCCTATAAGTACATATTATATAATTCCACAGGAAATAAATGATCCAAGTTTTCTAATTTCAAATTACTCTACTTCTAGTTCAAATCAGYCAGATTTAAAAAGTACTCAACTGAATAAAATTGTAATGGCATTATTGATTTGGATGCAATTGAAAGAGGCGAATCATATTGTCTTGGAGTCTGAACTAGCAGTAATTTAAATATAAATAATATTTATTGATAGAAAAATCATGTTAAAATAGTTGTTTTGTAAAATTTTCTTTTCTTAATATGTTACTGTTTCACTCATATAATAAGTTATATGAATTTACATTTGAAATTATTGTTAATAGATATACAGTTTTAAAGGTGGGCAAGAAATTATTTACAATTTGTGTACCCTATGAAGATTTTGATCTAGTTGCACCATGTTAGTGAATCTTATAATATATGTTTATTTTTAATATTTCACATTCTTCAAAATTTGGATTTGTTTCAAATTTAACCTTTGGAACTATTTTTAATTGTAATTTKTCTAAAAAATATGTACCTAAACATATGAAGGATTAGAAAATGTAGAAAAATGATTTTAATATTATGTTAGTCACTAGTTGTTTCTAAAAACTATTGAAGTATTAAAGTACTTACATAAAAGTATCATTTACCTAAGTATTTCTATGAATTTAAAATGTTTTRAGTGGATTTTTGAACATTAATAGATCATTAACTTTTAGCCCTTTATGTAACTGAACATTATTTCAAAATAAATACTAATAMATTTTATCAGATAGTTGAACCATGTAAGGGTTGACACAAATTTACCATAAGCTTTGTAAAGATAGTAAGAATGTATTAAAAAGGTTAAGTACTTAATTGTATAGGATAAAACTAACATACAATAATCAACAGATAACTTGTCATCTATGTTTAATTTCAAATAATTTATTTAAGAAAAAAAAGGACTATAAAGACTAATAGATCAATTTGAAAAATTAATAAATTCAAATATGATTTGTTCACATAATCACATAAAAACATAATATTGTAATATGTAAATAATATAACAATAATTTTCAAGTTATGTATAAGTAAAAAATCATTTTTTTTATTATATTATTTTCAGAGAAAGTCAAACACTTAATTAACATAATAGTATATACAGTTTTGTTTATTCATCCCATTTCTTCCACTCCATTCCTTCCGGAGGTTTAATATCTACTTTATCTTTGGCGACATCTTTCCAGTTGGTACTTAGAACAGTGCCTCCGGATTCCAAAAATGATTTATTCATAGCCTTGCGCACTTCATCTGAACCGTCTGAATAAATTTTTTTGAACAAAGTGTTAACATCACCGTCTTCTTCTTCTTTTGTCATTTCTTTGACAACCTTATCCCAATTACGGGGCTGAATAGTGGAAGGCTTAGTTGTTTTAACTACAGTTCTCTCTAGTACGTCCCACATTCCCCCTTCAGTCTTTGCAAGGCGTATCTCCAATTTAGACGAGAGAACTTTATAGGTACTGAAGTTGGGTACAATAGGTTTGCTAAGTTTTAAATGAACAGTGTAGGGTTGACCAGTGGCAAATTTGGCTTGAACAGTTACTTCATGTGTATCAAATTTTACGTTACAGTCTTCTTTTGATGATGTATGTTTACCCAAAATGCTAACAATCACTTGGGATTCTGACTGGTACCAATCTTTTTTGATGACAACTTTATTTTCTTCACCCACACAAGAAGCCATCATAAATACTAAAACCAAAATAAATATTTAACAGCTATTATTTTTTTATTCGACAAAATTATTTGATAAAATAATCTACACTATCTCACTAAATCAAAGTCAATAAACCCCACTTGAAAAAGTTATAAGTTCCTTTTTATTAAAATAATTGAAAATCTATTACAACAAAATCAATAACAGATATTTTAAAAGGCATTACAATACCAGTTGGAAACATTAAACTGATTTATATGAATCAATTAACGATACCATAAGTGTTTTTTTTTTGTTTAGTGAAAAAAACAAAAAGACAATTAATATTATATTCAGAATCGCAACAAGGATTTTTATATTGGACCAGTAACTAAACTGTTGTAATACTAACTAAAATATAGAAAAATCATTTTTGTATTTCACTCATTCTTCATTGTGATTACATTATCAAAGTAATTCAGCTATATTTTTAAAAATTGTAATGAATATTATTGTTTATTATTATGTATCTGTAAGACGGGGGAAAATGTAATATTATACTCTTAATAATTTATTTTTCTAGTATAAGGAGAAATACTTAATACTTTTTTTTTGAAAATATGTTATTTCTTATTGCAGTATTTATGATAAATGCAAATTGTAATGGGTATACTGAATATAAATTAATCGTTTATGTATTGGTTGAAGCTAGAATTTTTTTTCTTGCGAATACCAAAGTATTATACGTTTTTTTAGAACTAAATATAATTATAAAATTAGATWTTTAAAGTAGGTCTTGGTATTATACACACGTAGACATACCTGTAGGTAATGATTGAATTCTTATGATTTTAATTACGTAGTTTAATAAAATACAATGGACGCAGCTTTTTCTTCGGTCGCAACGGACAAATAATAATTTGATTAGAAAAGGGAAAACTAAAATCACAGCCTTAACAATTGTTCGTAAGAATATATTATTTACATTTACCGACTTAAAATAAAGTAACAAATAAGAACAACAACCCTACAGCAATCGAACATGGATTATTGGAATCTTCTAGAACACAACGAATATATAAACAAATATGTGAGATAACAGCTAAAGTAATGTGATAAATTCTATGGTGATAACAAGTTAAAAATTAGAATTTTCATGTACATCTCAGAGTAATAATAATAACATATCTTTCTGCACCAATTTATATTATATTATATTCCGTAGTTATACCACAGATATACAGAGTTATAAGTACCAAAAGCAAAACTGCATATTTCTGATGTGTTATCGCAATTATTTATTAATTATTATAGGTAGTTGTGCCAGCCAGAGGGATGCTTATTGCTTAGTTGCTTAGGGGTGTTTCAGTCTTATAATTTAAATAATTAAAATAAATATTGTAAACAAAATATCAAATTCCCTTGGTTACTGTGATACTTAAGGCAAAAAATTACTAATT